CGCGCCGCGGGGTTGAGGCGCAGGGTCCCGCCCCGCTTCCAGCTCACCTGCGCTAGGAATCGGTCACTTTGTTGAACCCAGGAACCGAGCAAGTCACCGAGCGAACCGTCTGTGAGCGTTAGTGGCCCCATCTGCAAAATGGGATTCGTGATGCCTGCCTTGAAACCTTTATTTTTTTAAGGGCTCGCCTTGTTTTGAGACAGGCTCTCTGTCGCCCAGGCTGCCGTGCAGGGGTCTGATCATATTTCACTGCAGCCTTAAACTCCTGGCCAAGCGATCCTCCTGCCTCAGCCTCCCAAGTATCTGGGAGTACAGACGCCTCCACACCCAGCTACTTTTATCGTTTTTGGTAGAGACGAGCCCTGGCTGTTTTGCCCAGGGTGGATTTTTAAAGATTATCTTGAGACTCAAGTGAAGATGCTTTGCAGACTGTAAATTAAAGTGGTATACAAATGTGAGGTATTGCCAAGGCTTCCTCTCACGCTGGGTTGCTCTGCAGCGTCTGAGTGGGGAGAAGGGGCATAGCTTCCAAATTCCCACACCAGTGGCAGCTCCACTACATTTGCCATCACCTTTTTTTCTTTTTTCTTTTTTTGAGTCGAAGTCTCACTCTGTCGTCCAGGCTGGAGCGCAGTGGCATGCTCACAGCGCAGCCTCGGCCTGCTGGGCTCAGGAAATCCCTCGCCTCAGCCTTTCAAGTAGCTGGAACTACAGGCGCGCGCTGCCACACCTGGCCCAATTTTTTGATTTATTGTAGAGACTAGGTCTCGCCAAGTTGCCCAGGCTGGTCTCGAATCCATGAGCTCAAGCAATCCTCTTCTCTTGGCTTCCCAGAGTGCTGGGATTACAGGCTTGAGCCACTGCTTCCGGCCTGTTATCTTTAAGTTTGGAAATGATCTCTCAGTTGTAGGCTTGAAGATCATTGAGAAGACCCTTTGTGTGTAGGTTTCTTCATCAGTGTTTATCCTGCAGGGTTTATGCATGGGAAATACTTCCTTGATACCTGGTAAACCATTAGTTCTTAACTTTTGGGGAGACTCAAAGGACCCCTTTGAGAATCTAATGTAGGCAAAGTAATCTCCCCTCCAACCCCCATCCACATTTGCACCTATGCACATTCTTTAGAGAGAACCATGGAATATTAAATCCCAAGTTAAAAATGTATACTCATCTAAAACCTCGCGGTGGTGATTCAGTTTCCAAAAACTAACCATAAACTAGATTTGGTCCAGAAGTCTTAAAACTCTAGTTTTGGGATAAATTTAATGAGAACTTGCTGGGGTTGCTGAAGGTGATTTATCCATCAGAAAGCCATCTGCAGTTCTGGTGTGTGTGCTAAACCAGCTTACTTTTAAGGCTGAAAGATGGAGAGAGGTGGTTGCAAGAGAATATGTTTAATTAAGTGTTCTTTGTTATCCCGGTGCCACATTAATGAATGATGTTATAGTTACCCTTATTCTTAATAGCCTGTTTTCTTATTTGCACTCAATATGAGAAGGAGGATATAAGCATTGGTATTCCTATTGTTTAGTTAGAGAAATTTAAGTATATTTCAGTGACTTGCTCACTTAAGTTAGAAGTAAATCTTCGATTAGAACTAAAATCTCACATTTCTTTGCACATGCCTTTTTATTATTATTATCCTGTTGAACCTGATTACTGACTTTGAGTTAAATTTGATCACACTTCCCTAAGACTGTGTAGCATTATCCGTATCAAAATATTTATTAGATCTGTATATTTACAAAGGATTTATTAGAAGCTACTCTTTACCTCTAGAAACATATATCAATGGGAAAACAGTCACTTTAGTAAACAAATAGCATTTAAGTTGTGAATGTATATAAATGAAAAGAATGGAGAACTATTTGAGTGTATGAGTTCTGAAAGTTAAGGGAATGGTTACATTGAATAAATGTACAGTAGAAATCACATCAGAGCCTTCCCCAAATAAGTTTTAAAGGTTTAACAGACATTCAAATGGATGGGGAAGGTTATGGAGGTGGGGCTGATACTGAGCTAGAAAGCGGTGTCAATAAAGAAAGATATAAAAATTTTGGCAGCTGCAGGTAAGTTCTCTTGAATGAAGGAAAATATTCATAAAAGTGTGACAGGAAATTAGAGTTGTAAAGTGGGGTATGACATTCTTACCCAGACAGTATAAATAATTCCTAGAGAAGTCTAAATTTATAGAATTAGAAGCAAGTTTAGTATTTTCATTTTACAAGAAGCTGTGGTCAGCTGTGAATAAAGGTTCTCTGGTTCTTTACTTCCTCAATATTTTAACCCTACCACAATCCCCATCATAGCTAGCACTGTGCCATAGTGCCCTCAATAGAATCTTTGAAGTCTGCCCTAGAGCATATTTTTACCTGAAACTGACATCATGCAAATTAGGTGTTGCAACAAAGTAGCAACATCTTAATGCTTTACATTCCCCAGTCCTGCAACAAATTATGTTCAATCGTATGCAGAACCTTTAACTAAAGTCTGTTTTAAAAGAAGAAATAAAAGGAGTCTGTCTGCGCCTCTAGGAAGTTTTCTTTCTAGATTTACAGATCTGGGTATGGATTCATTCCCTGCCAGGCAAAAAGCAAACATGATTTTTCTGTTACTGTGTTGTAGGATGACTCATTGGTAGTGTGGAAGGAAGTTGATTTGACCCGACTGTCTGAAAAGGAACGTCGTGATGCTTTGAATGAGATTGTTATTCTGGCACTGCTGCAGCATGACAACATTATTGCCTACTACAATCACTTCATGGACAATACCACCCTGCTGATTGAGCTGGAATATTGTAATGGTAAGGTAGAATTCATTGGGACTTCCTCCACCAAGACTTTCTTATGCTTTTTTTTTTTTTTTGACTAGGAGTCTCACTCTGTTCTCATTCTTACCTAAGGGTAAGAGTACAAGAAAAGGCATACACAGTGATACAAACTTTAAATGAGTTTCTACAGTTTAAGAGAAACATTTCAGGCCTTAGAGAATAAGGGGAAGGATTTTCCTTTGCATACTCAAATTCTCCCTTGTGACTATGCTTCCATCTTCAAAGTATTTCTTCAGTTGAATTTTACATTTTTTTCCAAGGTTTTTTCCTCATGAAATGACATTAGTTAGCCATTCGATATCCTCGGCACCACTTGATACGATATTTAATGAAATCTTAGAGGTGATATTTATTTATATTGTCTTCAGCAAAAGTCATCCTATTGAAAAGTGGTCCAAAGGTCATAACTGAGCAAAAATTTTATACAGTGAAGCATGGCCTTATTTTCTGATCTCTGATTTCTTTGGATGATTTTGCTTGTAAGATAGCAGGATCGCCTAGTTGTAAAGAAAATCGAGTCTTAACCCATGTCCTAAGTTCTACTACCTTCTGGCTCTATACATAACCTTGGACAAGAGACTTCACTTCTCTGTGCTTTAGTTTCCTCATTTTTTAAATTTTTAAATTTTTATTTTTTGGGGTCGGAGTCTTACTCTGTTGCCCAGGCTAAAGTGTAGTGGTATGTTCATGACCACCACAGCCTTGACCTGCTGGGCTCAGGTGATCCTTCTGCCTCAGCCTTCCAAGGAGGTGGAACCACAGGCATGTGCCACCATGCCTGGCTAATTTTTTTTGACGTATTGTAAAGACGAGGTCCTGTCATGTTGCCCAGGCTGGTCTTGAACCTGTGGGCTCAGACAATCTTCTCTCCTCTGCCTCCCAAAGTGCTGGGATCACAGGCATGAGACACCACACCCAGCCTAAATTTTTTGAGACAGTCTTGCTCTGTCACTCAGGCTGGAGTGCCGTGGCCCAATCAGGGCTCATTACAACTTTGACCTCCTGGGCTCATGCAGTCCTCTTGCCTCAGCCTCCCAAGTAGATGGGACTACAAGCACACACCCATTACAGCCAGCTAAATTTTGTATTTTTTTGGTAAAGATAAGGTGTCACAATGTTGCCCAGGTTGGTCTCTAACTCCTGACCTCAAAAGATTCCCCCTACCTTGGCCTCCCAATGAGATTATAGGCATGAGCCACCGCCCAGTTTCCTCATTTTAAAATGAGTTTGTTGATAATGGTACCTACTTTCTATGCTTATTGTATTAAGAGGGCATGTAGACCTGGTGTGGTGCCTCACATCTATAATCCCAGCACTTTCGGAGGCTGAGGTGAGAGGATTGCCTGAGCCCATGGGTTTGAGACCAGTTTGAGCAACTTGAGGAGACCTCATCTCTATAATAAACCAAAAAATTAGCCAGGCATGGTAGCGCATGCCTGTAGTTCCAGCTACTTGGAAGGCTGAGGCGGAAGGATCGCCTGAGCCCAGCAGGTCGAGGCTGCCGTAGCTGTGAGCATGCCACTGCCCTCTAGCCTGGGTGACAGAGTGAGACTCCTACTCAAAAAAAAAAAAAAAAAAAAAAAAAAAGAGGGCATGTAAATCTCATAGCATAGTACTTGGTATGTAGCAAGTATTTTATATATACTGTACTAGCTGCTATCCTTATTGCACAAGAGAACCCCCAAAGACCTTTCATGAACTGCATGCTAAAGAGGTCCTGATCTGTTCTTCACTTACAGCTTTCTTTTCTAGACTCTTGCATATTATGACTGTTTCTGATTAGTACTAAATATATGAGATATTAAAAATGTTTGAAGTAGCAGAAGTTTTAAATAATTAACTTCATTTGTACTTAAGAGGAGCAAGTACAAATGATACATTTATTGAAACACTGAGTTATTAAATTGCAGGGGAAGAGAAGTTGTAAAAACAGCCAGCATTAAAGTATAAGTTATGGTTACAGGTGGGAAGTAAAATGAACCATGGTCATTTACAGTCTGTATTACTTGATAAAGGAGAGAGAAAAGCAAATTCATGTGTATTCCACATGAAAGAATTAATAAAGAGAGTAATGGTTGGATACAGTCTAGGAGTGGACTCTAAATTTTGGGAAAACTTTTCAGTGTGAAGTGGAAAGAAAAAAGTTTATGTATATAAAAAACTTCATTGCAGGTGTAATCCAAATGTTCTAGTAGTCACACTGGAGGAGTTGCTACAAAAATATTGCAGATTCCTTAGAAGAGAGCTCTAGGGAGCATCTTGCTGGGTTCAGTGGCTCACACCTGTAATCCCAACACTTTGGGAGGCTGAGGCAAGAGAATCGCCTGAGCCCAGGAGTTTGAGATAAGCCTGGGCAACATGGCAAGAACTTATTTCCACAATAAATCAAAAAATTAGGCATTGTGATACACACCTGTAGTCCTAGCTACTTGTGAGCCTGAGGTCGAAGGTTCACCTGATCCCAAGAGATTGAGGCTGTGGTAGCCATAATCATGTCACTGCACTCCAGCCTGGGCAGCAGAGTGAGACTTAGACTCAAAAAAAAAAAAAAAAAAGAAAAAAAACCATCTGATTTTGAAGATATTTTACTAGTTGGATAGTTCAGGAATGGTCTTTTCTCTCATCTTTAAAAATATTACTTTTTAAAATTGAGCCTCTTGTGTTAGGGACAGGAATCTTTGAGGACTATTTCTTATACAGCCCTTGAAAGATAAGAGTTTTGTACCCCTGTGAAAAGCCGAGAGAAGTAGTTTTTAATGATGAGAAAGCAGAATTTTTCATTTCCTTGTATCACCTGTTAAAACCCTATTAGCCACAGCAGCCAAGCTCTGGTCTTGATTAAGCAATTTAAACCTGTCTCTTGTTTAATTCCAGGAGGAAACCTGTATGACAAAATCCTTCGTCAGAAGGACAAATTGTTTGAGGAAGAGGTAATTCATATTTCTGTGGAAGGAGGCTAGAATTGTAATGTAGCAATTCTTGCATTCTAGTTCTGTATTTACTCTTCCGACAATGAAGAGTATTTTTCCTTTTGTTCAGACTCTTTTCAGGTTCTGATATTCATGAGAAAGGAAACCTTAACGAGGAAGCTGTCTATTGCTGCTTCCTAAATGTTTTACCTCTGCATCATGACTCTCTATGGGCTTTATTTCCTGGTGCTTTTTTTTTTTTTTTTTTTTGAGTTAGACTCTCACTCTGTCACCCAGACTGGAGTGCAGTGGCCACTCCCGGCCACCGCAGCCTCGACCTGCTGGGCTCCGGCGATCCTTCCACCTCAGCCTTCCAAGTAGCCGGAATTACAGGCATGCGCTACCACGCCCGGCTGATTTTTTTTTTTTTTATTGTAGAGATGAGGTCTCGCTGCCCAGGCAGGTCTTGAACCTGTGGGCTCAGGCAATCCACTCACCTCAACCTCCCAAAGGCACGGGATTACAGGCTAAGCCACCGAGCCCGGCTTATTTCCTGGTTCTATTACTGCATTCTGGTATGCCCAGTTTTCTATAACTGCATTCTTCCTGGATTTCTTTCCACAAGTCTGCTTCACCATACTATATTTTGTAATGACATTGGAACTATTTTGTTTTTTGGGGTTTTACATTTTTTGTAGCTTTTTAAAAAATATATTTTTTTATTTATCTCTTTTTTGGTGGACATTTAAGTCTTTCTGTTTTTTCAAAATTAGAGTTGTGGGGTAGATGTGAGGGTTTTCTACATAAGTAAATTGCATAGAGGCAAGATTTGGGTTTCTTGTGAGCCCTCTCACCCCTAGTAGTGAACATGGTACCCAGTGGGTGGTTGTGTACCCCTTATTCCCCTCCCTCCTTCCTTTAGCGTTTCCCAGCACCTGCCTTTGTGCCTGCATTTTTTGTTTTTTTTGTTTTTTGTTTTTGTTTTACGCCTACTCTTTTCTTTTTCTTTGCCTGCTTAACCTATAAGCTGGTTGCAGCTTCCTTTGTTTTGTTTGTGGATATGTATGTGTGTATTTAAATGGTGGAGATGTTTGTTTTTAATCCAAATATAACTGATTTTGTCTCTGCAGATGGTGGTGTGGTACCTATTTCAGATTGTTTCAGCAGTGAGCTGTATCCACAAAGCTGGAATCCTTCATAGGTAAGAAGAAACATGTATGGGCTGGGTTCCACCCCACAAATCCAGCCCTTACCCTGGACCTGGATACCTCCCATCTGCACTTTTATTTCTTAAGTAAGCAGTCATGGTTTTTCCATTGATATAATTAGGAAAGGAAAGAGTAAGTAATGAAGGATGTGATCTTCACTTTCTGGGGTTTATCCATATTTATTGTCTAGAAAAAATCTCTTTAATAGCTAAGTATCATTTAGTCATTTCTTTGGCAGATATTTTAGAATTCGGTTTGTTAATCTGTCAGTAAATCCTTGAAGGCACTATGAGAAGTAGTATTAGTTTGGTTGGAATTCATAGTAAATGTTTTCTCTGAGCAGTAATAATTGGCAATTGTTTTTAATACTGTAATTAAGTTATTTTAATATAAGTAAAAGTCTATTCATTTTGTACAGTAAAGTGTACAAATTGGGCCAGGTGCAGTGGCTCACGCCTGTAATCCCAACACTTCAGGAGGCCAAGGTGGGAGCTTTGCTTGAGGCCAGGAGTTCAAGACCAGCTAGGACAACGCAAGACTCCCATCTCTATAAAAAAAAAAAGGAAAAAAATGGCTGTGAGTGGTGGTATGCACCTATAGTCCCAGTTACTTAGCAGGAGAATGGCTTGAGCTGAGGAGGTCATGCCTGCAGTGAGCCATGTCACTGTACTTCAACCTGGGTAACAGAGTGAAATTCCATCTTAAAAAAAAAAAAAAAAGTTGTACAAACTTGCCAGATCTTTGGGGGAAGAAAAGAAGTTTTCATTTACTTCTAGTTGTAGAAGAGAACCATTTTAAGAATATTTTCACATCATTATACCCTTCATTTATTTATTTATTTATTTATTTTTTGAGTTGGAGTCTCACTCTGTCGCCCAGACTGGAGTGCAGTGGCCGCTCCGGCCACCGCACCCTCGACCTGCTGAGCTCCGGCGATCCTTCCGCCTCAGCGTTCCGAGTAGCTGGAATTACAGGCGCATGCTACCACGCCCGTCTGATTTTTTGATTTATTGTAGAGATGAGGTCTCGCTGCCCAGGTGGGTCTCAAACCCGCGGGCTCAGGCAGCATTATACCCTTCTTAAGTGAATCATTGACCATTGCCAAAGAGTAATCGGTAATATACTTGAGTTTCTTTTTTCATTGGTTTGTTCATTAAGTTGACATATAGTTCTTAAAAGCTATTGAGTGTCTACGGTTGCATGTTGCTAATATCTTTTTAAAAGTAACAAAGTATATTGCTTTCATTTATTTATTTATTGTTCACATTTATATATTTATTCACATTTTTCAATAAAAGAAACCAGAGTGACCAGGCACAGTTCATTTTGTTTTATATACGGTGAAGTCACCTTTAGAAAAATAGTCCTTGATTTTGTTTAGATGACCTAAATGGCCTAGTCATGTTATTTTGGACATGTAGCCTCTTTTCTTGCCTTACCAGATTATTTGAAACTTTAACACCACATATTTTTTTTTCTTTCTTTTTTTTTTTTAAGTTGGAGTCTCACTCGGTCGCCCAGACTAGAGTGCAGTGGCTACTCCCCGCCACTGCAGCCTCGACCTGCTGGGCGATCCTTCTGCCTTAGCCTTCCAAGTAGCTGGAACTACAGGCACGTGCTACCACACCTGGCTAATTTTTTATTTATTGTAGAAATGAGGTCTCGCCAAGTTGCCCAGGCGGGTCTCAAACCCGCGGGCTCAGGCAATCCACTCACCTCAGCTTCCCAAAGGCGCGGGATTACAGGCTGAGCCATCGAACCCAGCTAACACCAAATATTAAAATTGCCTTGATATAATGTAATTCAGGAGTGGTAATTGAAGAGGCAGTGTATCTTTTTTTTTTTTTTTTTTGAGTGGAAGTCTCACTCTGTCTCCCAGTCTGGAGTGCAGTGGCACACTCATGGCCACCACAGCCTCGACCTGCTGGGCTCAGGTAGTCCTTTTGCCCCAGACTTCTAGGTAGCTGGAATCACAGGTGTATACCACCACACCCAGCTAATTTTTTGATTTATTGTAGAGACGAGGTCTTGCCAAGTTGCCCAGGCTGGTTTCGAACCCAAAGGCTCAGGCAATCCTCTCGTTTCGACCTCCCAAAGTGCTGGGATTACAGGCGTGAGCCACTGCGCCTGGCCAAGGTAGTGTTTCTTGTAGGAATTATAATTACCTGGAGCACCATTTTTCTCATCTGACCCCTTAAGCTTTCCCTAATGGCTTCAGTGCTATGAGAGCCCTAAAGGATGAAGCTAATTCTCTGCCTTTACTTCTTTAAGTCCCATCTTCAATATTAAACTGAATGTGAAAGTGATGGTCATTATATGGAACATTTAGGACCCCATAACAGAATCAGAGCAGGGGTAACACACTCATTTTTATTCTGTTCTAACCCTGGGCAGGATGGGGGCTGAAATAAAACAATTATATGGGATTAATATGCATTATCCTTTTTTTCAGGGATATAAAGACATTAAATATTTTTCTGACCAAGGCAAACTTGATAAAACTTGGAGATTATGGCCTGGCAAAGAAACTTAATTCTGAGTATTCTATGGCTGAGACGGTATGTGTTGCCCTTGTCTTTTTCTTTCCAGTACTGTGAGATATAACTATACCCCCTAAATCTTGCACACTTTTCTCAATAGTCCTGCAAGTTCTCCATTCTTACACTGCAAGTCTTCAGAAGTCTTTTTCCCGGCCTCACTAGTAGGCATTTACATGGTCAGGTGTTCTTTCAAGAGTTGTTGTCCACATTACAGCTCTGAGCACATTACCTCATAACTTAGCCTTTTCCAACATTAGCTAGAACCCTTTCTAAAAGTAACAAAAATGCTTTACTGTTTTGGCCAGCCTAGGATCTTTAGTAGATTTCATTTTATTTCTTAATGTTTGAGCTCAAGGTGTCAGACATCTCTTTTATGTTTGCTTTGATTGCTTCTCTGGTTCAAAAAGAAGCACTGTATTACAAATGAAGGCTGATGCCCAGAGAACAGTCTATTAATTAATATCATACACAGTCTAAACCGGAAGCGCTCCCTTCTCACCTGATTTTGAAAAAGATCACTGATAAAGAATAGATACAGGTTGATCTTTAGAATGGTAATTTTATCCTTTTAGAAATTATAAAACCCAATTATTACTCTTCTGGTTTCACAATGCTCTGTCCTTAAAAGAACTTGAAAATGTAAGTTAATAAAATTAATTTAATCTGATGATGTTTTTTGATAATGTCAAGATATGCCTGCAAGCATCCAGGGTGGGAATCTGCTTCAGGGACTCAGTTGTTTGTATGATGGTGGGCAAATTGAGCTTCTGAGGAAGCAATCATGTCCTTATATGGATTTTTCTCATCAAGAACAGTCTGATAAAACCATGACTTGACTTCTTCTAACTAGTTAAATGCAAAGAAGGAATGATATGAAAATTTATAAATGCCATGTAAGCTATGTGAAAATTGCTTTGCTTTGCTGATTAAAGATGGCATTAGAACTGCTGAGGTGTTCATTGTCTCTCATCTTTGGAGAGGCATGACTCTTTTTTTAGGACATTTTTATTTCCAAATTTGTTTTTGAAGTCAGAAAATCTTTTTCAAATTCCAAAGAAATTTACTAGCTGTTTTAGTATAGCAGATGTCAAACTAGGCCATTTAAAAAGTTTCATTACTGTGCATTTTAGTTAGAACGTTTAGTTCCTTCATTCAGTTATCACCACCCCACTCCAGTTTTTATGTTTTTTCCCATTAGTGGACTTTTACAAACTATGTGTCTATCTGTATAAAGTTTTTAGTAGGCCTTGAGTGCCTAAAACCTCCCCGGGTTACCACAGTGCCTTTAATCCAGAGATTGTCCCTTTACAATTGCCCCAAGAGATTTGATGTGAATAAGATTTTTCCCCATAGTGGCATCATCTCACCAAAAACATTTTGGAATCGACTGATGGATATTTCATAGTTGTTATCATTCGTTCCTGGGAAATCTAACTAAGCTGTTGAAATTTTAATTTAGTTACCTCAAAAGAGAAGCTATTCTTTGATTGTTTTCTTTGTTGTTCAGCTTGTTGGAACCCCGTACTACATGTCTCCAGAGCTCTGTCAAGGAGTAAAATACAATTTCAAGTCCGATATCTGGGCAGTAGGCTGCGTCATTTTTGAACTGCTTACCCTAAAGAGGACGTTTGATGCTACAGTAAGTTGCTGTATTATCTGCATAGTGCCCTTGCAGATGGTACAACTTGACTAAGCAGATTGACTTCTTTAGACCCCACCTTCTGATTTCTTGGAAATAAATCAACTGTAGGTAAAAATAATCTGTTTCCAGGTACTGGATTAGTAACAGATTCTTAAAATGCCATAGACACAGTTAATCTCCAACTTGAATTCCCTGTTGAGATTATCACAATTAAGTAGTGAGCACTGTACTTGAATTTGTTCACTATAATTAAAAACTGGTTCTAGGATCAACTATGCGATATTGCAGTTTGGAAAAGCCATTTTATTTCTTATGTTTCAGCTATATAACATTTTAAAAGCTAATTATATAGCAATTATATAATATCCATTAAAGTATTTTGATCTTTTTAATGAAAAATTGCACTCTCTCTTATTAAAGATTGTCATTGTTGGGCTGGCACAGTGGCTCACACCTGTAATCCCAGTACTTTGGGAAGCCAAGGCGAGAGGATTGCTTAAGGCTAGGAGTTCAAGACCAGGCTTGGCAAAATAGTGAGACCCCCAACTCTACAAAAAAAATTTTTTTAAAAGATTGTCATTATTTTATGGACAATGAAAGCCTTCACATCTTTTTTTTTTAATTTTTTTTAAAGTAAGTTAAAGTACAACGTAGTGCAAAACAGTGCTTCTCAAACTTTTATATGTGTACAAAATCACCTGGGCATCTTGTTGAAATGCAGATTCTGTTTCAGTGGGGAAGGTTTGATATTCTACATAATGACAAGCTCACAGGTAATGCTGATACCATTAGTTCATGGACTGCACTCTGGGTAGCTAAAGTGGATTCACATCCAGTCACCTCTACCAACAAAGTGTGAGAATTCAGACAAATCGCTTCTTCTCTTTGATCCTCTATTTCGTTATCCATAACATGGTTATATTCTATATCCCCCTCACAGAGATTCTCTTATAATGTATATGAAAAAAGCATATGTAAGATAATTAATTGGACTTTCATGAGATCTGTTTGTTTTTCTAAATTCTGAAGTTTATTCTGGTATATAATCTAATTCTCTTAAATAATACAGTGGAAGAAAAATGACTTTTGGAGTCAGATTTTGGTTGGAATTATGGCTCCATTTTTACCATCTGTGTGGTTTTGGGAAAGTTTCTTTACATCTCTGAGCCCCATTTTTCTCATGTACAAATTGCTAATTATAATAATCTCCTTAAATGGTGTAAGGATAAAAAAAAAAGATCATATATGTAATGTGCCTGTGATGGTCTCTCAAAGTGGTGGTGGTGGTGGTATTACTATAATATTGCTATTTTTTCATCTTTTTTGTTTGTTTTTGAGTCAGAGTCTCACTCTGTCACCCAGACGGGAGTACAGTGGTAGGCTCACCACTAATTTTTTGATTTATTGTAGAGACAAGATCTTGCCAAGTTAACCAGGATAGTCTCGAACCCCTGGGCTCAGGCAGTCCTCTGACCTCTGCGTTCCAAAGTGCTAGGATTATAGGTATAAGCCACCACACCTGGCCTATTTTCATATTATTATTCACTGCCTTATCTATTGCAACTGTCCTGTACAGCCATAATTAGCATATATAGATTAGGCAAATTATTTGGCAGGGGAGGTACTTAAAGCCAAGAAGCAAAGCTAATCTTGCTTTTCTTTAGGTTTTAGTTGAAGGGTCAATTATATTGGGTTGATGCATAAGTTTGTAGTCTTTTTTGCTGTTTTAAGTGGTCTTCATCAAAGTCCAGTGGACTTCCTGAATGTGGAGACTCATTCAGGTCGAAGTGGCCCTCAATGAAACAACAAAACCATTTTCTTGCCATGCTTTCCCCAATGGCATCCCCCCCAGCTCACGACACAAATGTTTCGAGCTGCCTCCTCTTCCATTAATTCTCTGTCATACTCAAACAGAAGAGTATGTCAGAAGTGTTCGTTTTTTCCCACCCGACACTCCATCTTCTTTTTTTTTTTTTTCGAGTTGGAGTCTCACTCTGTCGCCCAGACTGGAGTGCAGTGGCCGCTCCCGGCCACCGCAGCCTCGACCTGCCGGGCTCCGGCGATCCTTCAGCCTCAGCCTTCCGAGTAGCCGGAACTAAAGGCGTGTGCTACCACTCCCGGCTAATTTTTTTGATTTATTATAGGGATGAGGTCTTGCCAAGTTGCCTGGGCAGGTCTCAAACCCGCAGGCTCGGGCAATCTGCTCACTTTGGCCTCCCAAAGTGCTGGGGTGACAGGCTGAGCCACCGAGCCTGACCAACACTCCATCTTCTTAAGCCCACAAATAGCACTAACTTTCTTCAAATCTACAAAATGCAAGACGTACTCACAAGCACAACATTGTCACTCCAAATGACAAAATGATAAACAAACTCCCAACACCACAGTGTTGCCATGCTAAAAACAAACACAATAAACTTATACATCAGCTTTACAATATACTCTAAGAATTATGCTGTTGACCACACAGTTATAGATTTAATCTTCACATTGACCAGTTGACTGTATTCCATCTGATGGTGGTGCTTCCGTAGTTATTTCTTGATAATGCATACTAATAGTTATAAAAAGAAGGAAGAACTATTGCCAGTTTTTTTTTTTTTTTTGAGTTGGAGTCTCATTCTGTCGCCCAGACTGGGAGTGCAGTGGCCGCTCCCGGCCACTGCAGCCTCGACCTGCTGGACTCCGG